GCTCCAAAGAGGGCCGCGAATCTGAACAAAGTTGGGATTTTTGCTCAGTTATCGAAAATGCGGTACGATTTTTTCGATTGAATTTTTCATACAAGAATTTCTGTGCAAACTGGAATCTATGGCCTAAGATAGTAGGCCCATGGTATTGGAAGTTTAATACAATAAAAGTTTTGGGTCGTCCGATATCATATCGTGGATAATTTTGTTGATATCTCTTAAAACCACCAATTTTGAGCATTTTTGAGGTTTGTCAACAAAATGGCTCGTAAAACGACGTCTGAATTAAATATCAGGTTATTATTATTTCAGGTTATTTTCAATGCTTAAGGGATACCGTAAAGTAACTCCAATATGGATTTGATTTTTCTAATAATTATGTCTTTGAAATGTAAGCGCGAAACCGTCACAAAAAAATTATTTTTCTTCTGATTTTGAAAAAATCAAAAGTAGATTGGTTCAAGACGCTGTAGCTCGCAAACTGATCATCCGATTTGGCTCAAATTTTGACTGAGTTCTAGTTAAGGATGGTTTTATCTAAAACTAATGTGGACTTGGCAGTATTTTCATTATTTCTGTATCAGGCCAAAGACTTTTCAGCCCATGTAGTATATTCTAATTTCAATTGGACTAATGATGTTATGCATTTGGTAGGTAATCGATTCAAAACTCAGCAAATGTGGATTAGACGTAAAATTTATGCAAGGAATGCACAGCAGAAATGATCACGTGCTTGATCACCCGGCAATGAAAGCCTCCCTATATTTGGACCCACGCTATCGAAGTGCAATTATTCACAATTCACTTCATGTCGACGAGGCGAAGGAATTTATAGCTCAAATGAAGCAACGCTTGAATTACTGCAGCGACCAAATCGGCACGAATGAAATGATGGCTGACGCTGATTCTGACGACAGCATCAACATCAGATTCGACGCAGAAACTGCCATTCGTGATTTTTTGGGGCATAACATCGATCGAACTGATTTGAGTAGCGATTTTGAAGCAACGTTGGATGCTTTCGACCCACCAGCCATGGCCTTGAAAAAACCCATTTTAGAGTATTGGAATGAATCGAATGATTACGAGTCGTTACGTGATGTGGCCAATGCGATATTTGCAATCCCACCAACAGAAACCGAAGTGGAGCGTGACTTTTCCGCATTAAAGTTCATTTGCAGCGAACCGTTTATCGAACGAAACCCTGGAAGATATTCTTTGTATCCATCTCAACAAGGATCTATATCTCGAAGTGAATGAAAACGAAATTCAAATCTTGGTAAAACTATTAAATATTTGACCAATGTTAAAATATCTTCCCACTAAAATATGCAACCTTCAATTTTCAATGTCTTTTCAAGGAGAAATGCTTATTTTCATATTGCAAATGTGATCGGGTTTTATATCGTTACAACGAATACATTAAATTTTCTTTGAAAAATACCCAAAATTATGTACTATTTTTTTAAAGATATGAGCAAAATAGAAATATCTAGTTTACTTTCGAAAAATTCCAGGATTCTTTTCTTACAAGAAAAAGTTGATTCTTAAAAGAGTTACGAAAAACAAATAATTTTGATATCAAACTAACGTTCAACGAATCACTCGTTCATTACTACGACTCATCAAATGAAATCGTTGCAACGATTTGCTTCTGTAAAAACCATACATAAGTAGGACAGAGTTCATTCTTAATGATATTTTATAGGTAATCAACCTTTTCATAGCATTTATTCTCATTTCCATCAAGCTCATATATTTTCTATTTATTAAAAAAAAAACAAAATAAAATCAATGTTGGAATCGAACTCGCGTCCAACGGACCACTCATCCAATGCTCAACGACCATTGTCACGAGCATTCTATGGAAAGGCACAATAATCGAGTGTATTGAATCAT